TAATTAAACAATATTTTAAGATACCTTAAATACTTAAATCATGTGAATTAATTAATATCTATTACTATATAAAAGAGCTAAGGAAAAATACATAATTAGTAGTCATTTTTCTGCTCATTTTTTCGTTTTATACTATTTGTGGTAACTTTTTTTCGAAAATTTTGAATTCTCTTGCCTGTGAGTTTTTTTTTAAAATTTTGAAAAAAATAAATAATCTAAAAAATCTACATAAAAAGATCACATGGAGATTCTATATTATCTAATACAATAGGAATGTAACATTTGTCCCGTTTTCATTGGTCCACTATAAATTTTATAATATGAGATAAGTATAACTCAAAATTATTGATATTATTTTATATTAAAAAAATAAAATAAAAAATATAAATTCGTATTTTTTCCTACTCTATAAATAGAGACCACTCTTGATATGTTTTGGAGCAGAATTGAAATTATATGTTGGGTTAGGTTGTAGATAAAACAATACCAAAAAATGTATTATAGATAATATTTATTAAATAAATAAATAAAAATAAAATAGATACTATACTATTTTTATTGGGTCACCAACTAAAAAACAATAAAAGAATAAAAAAAATAGCAGAATTCGCGACCCAGGTCAAATTGTGACCCTGGGTCGTAACTTAGCCACAAGGAGGAAGAGAGAAATGAATGTGAGTGAAATGGGGCAAATGTCACATTCTTATTGGTCTATAATTTTTTTTTTATAATAAGATAATCTTAACTCTAATTATTGATATTAATTTATATGAAAAAAATAAATAAAAATTATATTTTCATTCTCTATAAATAGAGACCACTCTTGATATATTTTGAATTGCAATTTCTCTCTTTTCACTATTTTTTCTTAATCGTAACTTATCAATTTTATCATTTTTTTTATTTTATAATATCACAACTAAAACAATAACAAAAAATTTATTGTAGATAATATTTAATAAATAAATAAATAAAAATAAAATTAATATTATGTTGGGTTGAGTTAGGTTGGATTTGGGATAAAAATATGTAGGTTGTTAAAAGTTATAGATTGTGTAGGTGGAAGAGAGAGAAGTAATTTTTTATTATTTGGTTGGGTTGAGTTGGGTTGGGTTGGGTTGGGTTGGGTTGTGGATAAATATAGTTTTATACTACTTTTATTGGTGACCCCAAGGAGTGGATCACCGAATCAAAACAAAAAAAAAAAAAAAAAAAAAAAAAAAAAAATGAAAAAGAAAAGCAATATGTTGTGCAACCGGAGTCACAATGTGACCCAACCCAAGGTTGCAACCGATTGCTTTATAAAAGTTGACACTTGTCTTTTTTCTATTGCTCAAATATAACATTTTTTTGTTTAAAAAAATAAATAATAAATACTAAAATTCATATTTTTTTTATTCTCTACAAATAGAGACCACACTTGATATATTTTGGAGCACAATTGTATTTTTTAGATAAATTAAAATAAAATAAATATTTAGATTGAGTTGGGTTGGAGATAAAGATAAATTTGGTTGTAAGGTTGAGTTGTGTAGCTGGATGGGAGAGAAACAATTTTTACTTATTAGGTTAGGTTGGGTTGGGTTGAGGATAAGGATAGTCTTATGTTGGGTTGAGTTGGGTTGGGTTGAGGATAAAGATATGTAGATTGTTAAAAATTGGGTTGTGTAGGTGGAGAAAATAGAAATAATTTTTTAGAATGGGTGGCGTTGGATTGGGTTGTGGATAAAAATAGTCTTAGTGCACAAAAGTTGGATGAGGAGAAATCATATTTTTTTTTTTCATGTGTTTTTTACATGATTTGGACTTCTAGGGTTCTCATTAGTTATATTTTTGGAGGTCGTTTTTTTTTTCCCACTTTTGTGTTTATTGCATGCTAATTACAATATTTATCAAGCTTTTAAATTATCTGAATAATCTTTATTTAAACCAAAGAACGTGTTTTCATGAAAATTTCGTTCATCCCACCTAAAGCAAGTTTTTTTGAAATTGCAATATGAAATTGCTTAAAAGAAATATTGGATGGTTTTGATTTGTTAAAGAACAAAAATAGTTATACTTTAAAGTTTGGATTCGTTCCATTACTTTATGTACATTAACAATCATAGATTAGTTAATTGATTTTAAAAAAAAAATCAAAATAAAAGAGTCCAATAATATTCATTAAATAAATTATATTGCATAAAGAGAAGTGTTTAATAATATATAATTTTTCATTGTTTTTATTTATTTTAATTCTGTAATGAGATGAGATGTAAAAAATATAAACAATTATATTTAAAATAAAGTCTAAAAAAAAGTTTAAAATATGAGCTTCTCCATGCATCACACGGGATACACACTCGTATGGTATAAAGTAGACGAATTAATTTTTGGTATTGGTGGTTGTTTCTCTAGGAAATAAATTAATAAATATATGGTATAAAGTGAGCAAATTTGTTTAAGTTGTTTGATGACTATTTTTTGTTAGGAAATTTGTTGAAAAAAATAATCAATACACGATGTACTTTTTTCTGTAGAGTGCAGGCTAATATAATGGTTTTTATGCGTGTGTTTCAATTTTTATTTCATTTTTTCGTATGAAATTAACATAATAAAATTATTGTACTCTAACAAAATAATATAAACGGATATTTTGATATAATGTGCGTGTATCAATGTTATTTTTTTAGAAAAAGTTTTGGTCAATTTTTTTTGTACAATTAGTGGGTCTCGATTTAATTCATTTTTTGTTATGACATTTCAAATAATTTTTTTGTGAAATGCATTATTCATTTTTTTTAGCATGATAAGAAGTGTTGGTTTTTTTTTGGCATAAAAAATCAAGATTTTTTTACTCAACTATTTAAATTTTTTGATTTAGATATTTTATACAAATAAATTCATTTTAATTAATGAAAAAATATAATTTTTATATTTATACTTATTATTCACATAGGTTTTTAAATATATAATATAATTTTACCAAAATAATTTTATGGAATCACGTTATTGTCATATCGAATTTCTGAATAAAATTTTTGAAATGACAAATGGTTTCAAATGAATATAATGTAATTTATTATCACTTATGTGCAACGCACGAGTTGTTTACTAATTTTAATTAAAAATTTATGTAATTTTGCAAAATTTAAATTTTATACAACATTTTCAATAAATTAATATGTGTACATTATATTGCATATTGATTCCATGTTTTTAATTTATAGATACTATTTAATGAGAATTTTTAATTTGTAATCTTAATGAATATCGTACTAGTTTTCAGTAAACACATAATAATTTCATATTACGATGTAATTTCTGCAAATTACTATATTCAAATTAGTCAGTGTTATGTTCTTAGTACAATCACCACCTTAAATTTACTTGTGATCACTGCCTAAATCTGATCTATAATGGAGACTGCAGAGTATTTGCAGAGTGGTAGAGCCACCGAGAAATCGGATGTTTACAGCTTTGGGGTACTACTCTTAGAGCTCATAACCGGGAAACGACCCACCGACCCATCTTTCGTTCAGAAAGGCCTAAATGTTGTTGGCTGGGTATATGTCCTCAAATTCACAAATTCATAATTATTTCTCTCGAAAAATTCTGTGAACAATATTTTGAAGCTTCGTAAGGTTTTGCGTTATAGTTTTTCACTGTCATTGTCATTAAATTCTAGATGAACACGCTC